AGTTTTTCTCGACGTATATCCGCCATTTTACGAACATTTTGGTATCGATCATTTATAGCCTAAAAACAAGCTACTCAAAAATTTTGAAACAAATAAAAACAGCAAGAAAAAAAGAGCACTTTTTAGCATTTTCAAACACGAAAAAGGAGGACTCATGGCTAAAATAAAGCAATTTTGAGATACCTCAAACCTGAGGTATCCTCATTTTAAAGAAAGAAAAAAAAACTGTCCAAAATATAAAAAAAATCCATAACTGGACTCTTCTTCCACTAACCTTGCGTCGACCGTTTATTTCAGGTTGATCAAATTGTTCGTTTTCGAGAAGATTATCCGCTTGGACATTCATTTCTCGAACACGTTCCGCATGCGCACTGATGTCAGCTTCAAGAAGTTGATGTTTCTTCAGGAGATTTTCAATGCTTGCTAAATCTTTGCCATAATCCTCGGAAGCCAGCAAACCTGGAAAAATGCATATTTATCCCCTGGGATATAAAGAATCCTGTGAGAAAATGAGTTACAAATAAAAATAAACTTGTAATTTTCGAAACGGCGCAAAAAGCTATCACGGCCACCTGAACTGCCCAAGCCATAGCCTGCACTACTACTGAAATCTACCTACGCAAAGGCTCCCCTGTTCTGAAATACTTGTCTCAAATCTCTCCCCGCTGTTCCTATTATATGTGCTTAGTAACTTTTCAAGACCGTTCGAGTGGCCTAATCTTCCACTTAGGTAACACCAACTGGAACAACAATTACATAGAGATTCATTAAGGCGGTTGATGTACTTCGTCCAGTCAAACGATCTTGCACAAAATTTGAGAAAAAAAGAAGAGATATCCAAAAAATTTCCGCGATAAAAGCAGATTTTTTGTTGACACTTTGTTTGCAAGACAATCCTTAATCATGGCAGGCTTTCTGGTTTTAATAATACCAGTACAAACACACTTTCAACTTCGCCAAGCCAAAATTCGAGATCTTTAACGGCGGCCATGAAACTTTTCTGTTTGTTCGCTTCTTTCAAACGATAGCTTTTCTCGGATGTTGTTTTTACTAACAATTCCCATTGATCATTGAGAGCTTTGAGTCTTTGCGAAACAGCATCCTGAAATAAAAACAAAATCTACTGCACCAGTCAAAAAACCAAAAACATCTTGGCCAAAACAGAAAACTTTAGGCAAAGTTAAATGTTATTTAAAGGTCATGTGGTCGTATTCTGTTTGAGTTCCGTACCTCTGCGGCTCAACTTTCCCCATTTCAAATGATAGCTTCATGAAAAGTACAAAGAATACAAGTGAACGCAGAAACAGAGGATGTAATACACAATTTTCCCCCACTTTCCCATGAAGGGAGCACGGAAATCAACGCAAGGATCACCGGGAGTAGGCACTGAATTGCAATTTTAATTTTATATAATGTGTGTTTATGTAAAAAGTAAGGGTTAAAAAGAAAGGAATAAAAGGAAGGTGAATAAGGTAAATCGGATTAAAAAACTTGAATAGGAATGTTTCCACTGTCTTTGAGTGATTGTTGTGACTGAAGTGCTACTAAGTGATGTAATACTTCACTCACAGCAATCATGCAAAGCAGGACAGTGGAACTGAAGTGCGCTACGATAAAATGGCTACTGGTCAAAATTATTGGCCGATTGTAGCAACCAGGTTCATTCTGGAAGCCTAAACGGCGAAGACGCGCTAGAACCAGGAAGAGAGAACAATATGAGGACATAAACAAAGACTGTGACAAAACATTTCGGTCCATTAATTGGTATACGTCTTAACTCAACACTGCGACTGGACCTCGGCAGTATGATGGTGGCAGTGCTTAATGAAAAGTGACAGAAAGGAAGGAAAGAAAGTGAAAAGCTATGATTGTGTGAGTAAGAATGAGGTGAAAAGACGATAAGGAAGAAGATTCAAAAAAAAGGGAAACTTTTTAATATTCAAGTCTTTGTCGTTTAAACTCACTGAGCCCTTAATAATTGTGGTATCTATCATGAAAACGACGAACTTGAAAAAAAATAAATTTTCAAATTTTTGAATCATAATATTCAAGTTTCACTATCTACACAGCAAAGAGGGGGAAGAAAAATCTTGCCTCGCCGCCAGCACATTTGCTGGCATCGATCAGATTCTGGCCAGCAGTGATCAGAGTTGCAATACGATCCGCGTTGGCGGCTAATTCCGCTTCGAAGGCCTGTTGCTTTTGATGTTTTTGCTGGATGTGTGTTGGGTCACGATAACTCTCCTCCTGGGCAATCTGGAATTTCTCGGCAATCCAATTTTCGATTTCGTCGGCATCGCGCGAGAATTGCTGCAGTGTTTGCGACTCGCCCAATTTGCTACGCTTTTCGATCAAAGCAGCTTTTAGGCGATCCCATCGCTGCAAGATCTGGTCACGCTTTTCCGCCACTGCGTTCTTATCGTAGTGATCGGCATTTATAAGCTGATTCGCGAACGTCTGCAGTGCCGAGATTTTTTCTTGCTGAGAAGCTATGGCCTGAAAATAAGCAAATTAAAAAATAAGTAAAATAATGTACTGGAATAACGATGCACCATCGAGAGAATTACTGTCCCTAGCTAAAAACACAGAAATTTTCAAGAACTGGGAAAAAAGAAAGAAAAAATGCAGCACTGCGAAGGGAAATGCATGACACTCAGGGTTAGTTCTGTTGCAAAAGGAAGAAGGAGAGAGTAACAAGGAAGCGAAGTTGGAGGCTCAACCCCTCTCGCTTTGCCCAGTTGCCCTTCGGTTTCCTGTAATATGCAAATGTCCCGTCTCTTGGCTCAAGTTCCCCTCTTCGTGATATTTAATGTAATGATTGAAAATGAAATTGTCAGTGTAACTGTTGGTTTGGCTGAAAGTGCGCGGCAGCAGCTTGGAGCTGCTGTCGGGCGGATCCCGGGCTGTTTGGTTTCTTTTTCCTAATTGTTTTCCTTTTGTGCGATTGAACTAATAAAGAAGTGAGTCCTAGTTGCTTGGTGTTGTATTTCCCCGCCAGGAAGGCACCCCATCACCAGCTCCTCCTCCATCCGAACGTTACAGTTCTGCTAAAAATTGCAAAAATACACCAAATGCAGCCGACTGAATCCAGGCGCTGAGCCAACTGCAAAATAAACAGTGGAGGAATGAAAGAAGACTCTGCTATAGCGAGGAAATCGTATTTTGGCCGTAAGGTGACAAATTTGGAATGCGACTATATGCAAGAAAATTATTTAAAAAAAAACAGATATTCCACAGAAAAAGAAGAGAAATTAGGCCTTCAGGGATTTCTAAAGCAGAACTGCGTATTCAGTAATGTGAGGCGCTGAATCGCAGCATCAATTTAACATGAAAAAACGCTCAAAAAACAAGTGAAAGGAACTGCTCGGATGTTAAACAGCGTAGAAACCTTGTCGAAGTCTTCGTGCTTTTTGATAAGACTTTCGACATTGTCGCCGGTATCCTCCTGATTCAAGAATGCTTCGCGAGCGCTCATCCAAGTATCAGCTTGTTCACAGTCACGGTAGAATAGCTGCAGCTCCAAGCACTGATCCAAAATATGGCGGCGATAGACCCAGGAGCTGAAACGAGTGAACACTCATATTTCAATCACAGGTGAACAATTCTGTAACTAAATCCATCAGGAGCCATTAACCATTGTAACTGGACACGTTCAGGAACCAAATTTTTAACAAATTCGGTTAAAGGTTTAACAAATTCATTGGTTGCCATCTTAAAAAATAATGATTTCTTCCCAAAAGTGATCAAAAATTGTCAAATTTATATATATATATATATATATATGTATGTATATATACAAATTTATATATACATACAAATTTGACGATTTTTGGTCACTTTTTTTTATATATGTATGAGGGCGAAACATATGAGTGAACAGCATCCGCAAGGAGGCAAATAACTACTTGCCCGAACAGGTGGTGCAGATACTCTGAAAAGGCGGTAAGTACTAACTGGAGACACACAACTCAGGACCGAAAGATCCGACGTAGTTACGTCCAACACATGAAAGCAAAAAAAAGAAAAGTCGTCGATAAAACGGGTTAATATTATTTTCTCTTCTATTCTTCTCCCTACTTCAAAATACTTTTCTGCCCCCAACACCGACCACCCAATGGTTTTAGCGACCAACGTGTAAAAATTCAGAGCTTTACAGAATATTGAAGCGATGTAAGCCGGAAATAAATAGCAACGCGCACCAGACTAGCCAGCGCGATCATGCGTTTTGTGCAATTCAGCCCATCCAACGATTGCCTATTAATGATTTTCACTGCATTGTACTTTAGTCTATGCAAAAATAGTTAAAACATTGGAAAACAGTTAAAAATTTTACGCACCTACGCATGAAAGCTGAATTCGAAACCTTGAAGAGTGAATATTTTTCCGTGATTCCCAAGTTAATAGTTTACCCGCCAAAATTTTCACAAGCCCGTAGGTGATACCCGAGAGCGCAGGAACACTTAAATTGAATGGGCAAGGTTGCGCGTGGGGAGGGGGTCATTACCCTAAAATTTCAGCGTCTAGACTCCGTGGTTCCCGAGATACTAACTTACCCGTAAAAAAATTTCACGGGGCCGTACGTGTTACCCGCGGCTAAGGGAAGGCTGAATTTGAATGGGCAAGGTTGAGCGTGGGCAGGGGGTCATTACCCTGAAATTTCAGCATCCTAGACTCCGTGGTTCTCGAGATATTAATTTACCCGTAAAAAACTTTCACTGGGCTGCATGAGTTACCCGCGGGTACGGGAAGGCTGAATTTAAATTTGCTACGTCATCCGTTGGCAGGGAACACTATACCAAAATTTCAGCTTCCTAGCTTTTGTGGTTCCCAAGTTGAAAGTTGCGGACACACACACAGACAACCTAGCGACAATATGCGTTTTGTACTACTGTTATACAGCACAAAACGCAACGAGTGAACACATGGACTGTTCGTTGTTGCACTTTGCGCAATCCTAAGCGAATACTGAGGCCAAAACCAGTTTCGAATTAAGAGACTGTTTTGAACAGAAAAGGTGGAAAGCGGTGGATACTGTTCAGCATAGGCATTCGCAAGAACTTACTCTTCAAGCTTTTGCCGAGCATTGTTCACATCTTCAAGGCGCTGCTTGATATTTTCAGATGCGTAGTGGTGACTGTTCAGCAGCTGATTGCCGAATTGCTCGAAAGCTTGGAATGTTGCTGAGCGTGAATCGATCTCCGTCCGGTACTCCTGATGACGTTCCAGCAGTGCTTCCGCACCGGTCACATCGTTCGCGAGCTCATCACTCGACACTGCAATCGGATTTCTCATTATTTCTGATTATTTTTATTGGGATCACATAATCTTATAAAAATTCTCAGACATTTACCGGCATGCTTTTTTGGTATATCGAAATGTCTCTTGAATATATGTTCCTGCTACAAAC